TTTTTTTTTTTTTTTTAAAGATGACCAGAAATGGGATCCTAACCCTTGACTTGGTGTTGTCAGCACCACACTCTCCCAAGTGAGCCATGGGCCAGCGCCTTGGGGTTATATTTGTTTCTTGCTCTGGTAGTAGCTATCCAGGAATGTTCAGTTTGTGAAAATTCATTGATCTGAATACTTACGATTTTACACTTTTTACACTAAAAATACATTTCATTGATTAGCCTCTCAAGTGGCCATGAAATTTCCACTTTACCTAAAATAAGCCAGTTCTTCATACCCTTACCAACATTTGACATTTTCAACTTCTCTTAAATGCTTAAAAACGAAGCAAACAAATAGAACAGCAGCAGTACACAATGTGCTGTGTGAAAACTGGCCCTGCAGAAAAAAGCAACCGCTAGGGTTTTGATGGATGTGAAAGGACAGCAAAGACTCTAACGAAGTGGCAGCTCTGGCTAGAACACAGACATTTTGGACAGTTTAAGAGCCACCCCACAAAAGACCCTGTTCTGCAGTCTACATGAAAACACAACAAAACAGTTCTAAGAAACTCTTGTCAGCAAGTGCTCCAGCCAGTTCAGAAATGCCTCACAAGGATGACATCGGCTTCCAGTGGAAACGAAAAGGCCATTTACGTGGGGTGGGAAGGTCTGTCCAGGAAGCACTTGACAGTCATTAGAAATGGGACAGAGGAGAATGGCCAGGCACTTCTACTTGCGAGAACTTGGGTGAGCTTCAGGAAAATCTTGATGAAAAGAAACCTGTGACCACCAAGTAAGTCTAGCTCATAATTCTGCCTTGGCAGAGTCCAGGACTAACGCCACCGCACCGTACCATCTTCCTTTAACCCAAGCCCATGGACACTGGCCTTGAAGAAAGCAGGCCAGGGCAGGCCTGGAGGACCCATCCAGGCCTTGTGTTTCTACCCCAGTCTGTTCCTTTGTCTAAAGGCCTTGACCTGGTTTGACTTTGCTGACTCCTTGAACCTACAGATTTGACCCTAAATCCTCCCTAGGGCACAATTTATCCCCATTCTGTGGCTCTTCTTGCTCCAGGGAACACCCCTACACTCTTTCCTGCTACTCCCCCACTGGGCCCATCATGACATCTTCTACAACCAAAATGGTGTTACCTTCTCATATTCCTCTCTGGAGTCCGCACATGCTGAATATGAGGTTCCTCACAAAGCTCCTTTCTGTTTATTAGTCAAATTGTCAATTTGGAGTGCTATGGCCCCTCCCCAGTGTTTACGTGATCTCCCAGTTGCCTAAAGACACTTACCCGTAATGCCATCTGGCATGGGCCAAGCACATCAAGGATGGCCAAGCCTTGGAGGCCAAAGCCTCTCCCCTCCATTGAGGTCCCCTGCAGGCTGGTGCTGGTGTTGGTGGAAAAGCGATAGGTGTATCTGGTGCCCACAGGGAGGTGAGGCCCAGCTGACCCTGGAGGGCAGACAGAGGGAGCAATGTCATCTTGACAGTCTGTCACCCCCTGAGACCCCAACTCCACCCAGACTATTTAGACATCCTTGCTCCCACCTCCCTCTCTCCATATGGGCCCTGAGCTGCCTGCTCCAAGCTTGGGGGAAGGCTGAGTAGCTGCATACCCCCATGAGGGTGAAGAAGAAAATAATACAGATAATAACAACAAGTACTCACATAATGTTAGCCAGTGTTATCGTGGGCTAGGCCCTCTTCTAAGATACAGCCTGGGTACTATTAATATTTGGGGCCAGATAATTCTGTTGTGGGGGCTCTCTGAATATTGTAAGGAGGTTTAACAGCATCCCTGACCTCTACCCATTAGGTACCAATAACACAGCCCAGTTGTGACAACCAGAAGTGTCTCCAGCCATTGCAAAATGTCCCCTGGGGGGGGGGGCACAGTCACCCCAGTTGTGAACTATTGATCTACATTTACATTAACTCATTTAAACCTTATAACCAACTTTGAGGTGTGTACTCTTTATTTTTTCCATTTTATAGAGGAGGAAACTGAGACTCAGAGAGGTTAACTAACTTACCCAAGGTCATACAGCTAGGATGCAAACTTGGGCAGTCTGAATTCTCAGCTACCTCTTTGATGGACAACAAGTGGAAGGTGGGGACTGTTATCTCGATCTTTATAAAAGAAAAGCTGGAAAGTTGGCCAGCCTGGGCAGGGGGTGGGGGGTGGGAATAGTTGCTCTGGGGAAGAGCTGATCTAGGGAACAAGGAGATCTGTAGTTCTCTAACCAATCTCTGATCAATTCTCTAACCTTCTATTTAGGCCAGGGGATCAATTATGAAACCTAATTATGACTCCTCACCGTTCCCCAGGGCTTGCGATTGAATTAATATTTTCATGTCAATTTCATGAGACAAACCACACCTCACATTCCCACGATGGTTCTCTCTTTTCAAAAAATTTGCCAAGGTTCCCTTCTCTGCCCCACCCCGAGATGCAAATAGAATCACCTGGCCAAAGACATTTATTCCACCTGGGAACCACAAGGTCTGAGGAAAAAGCCTCACTGCCTTGGGGGCTGGGATGGCTTAAGGCATTCTACTCTGGGTTTGCTATGTGTTTCTCTAACCCTGTGGGTGGCCTTTGCAGAACTGGCCTTGCTTCTCCCAACTGGTCTCCTTGGGAATGTGGCCTAAGCCCTCCAGGGCTGTCCCTAATCACACCCTGCAGCAGGTCAGCTTCACCCCACCTAAACCACCCCTGCCCTGTCCCACCCTGGCTCAGGCTTCTCATCTAGAGAAGTGTGATAAGGTGTCCTGAGAGACTCACTCACCTGCACATGCCATCATGCAGGAGGCCTCCTGTCCCGCCGGTGAATCTAGAATTTCTAAAATCACAAATCAGATGTAACCAAGGCAAGGCCAGAGGAGGCATGAGATAGCCCCACACCATAGGCTGCTGACCTGCTCATAGAAGAGGACATTTAAGGGCCCAGGGGGACAAGGGGACAAGAAGAGATAATGCCAGCTCTCCATTCTCTCATGGGACCAGAAGTGATCTCCCTACCCTTTGGAAAACATGCTATTTCCATTCTTAGGTACTGGCATCGTTGTCCCCTGATAGGTCAAGTTGGTAACCTGGGGGTCATTTGTGTTTACACTCTTTCCCTCATCAGCACCCTCAAGTCCAATACATCAACAAGTTCTGCCAATTCCATCAACAAATGCAGGTCTCCCTCCTTCTATCCATCCATTATCCAGCCGGCCAGCCAGCCAGCCACTCATCCATCCCTCCCTTCTTCTGTCCATCCATCCATCCCTCCTATCCATCCAGCTATCCATCTATCCATTTATCCATTCACCCATCCACTCATCCATCCCTCCTTTCCTCCATCCATGCATCCACGTGTCTCTATCTCCATGGCTACCACTCTAGGCAAAACCACATCTTCTCTTGCCTGGATGACTGCAGCAGACTTCTAACTATTTCCCCTGTGTCCACAATTCATCTTCCACCCAGCAACCAGAGTCATCTTTTAAAAACATAAATCAGATCACATCACTACCCTGCGTAACAGCTCCTGGGTCCCCTCACATACACATGCACTCATAACAAAATCCTAACCATGCAAGCCGGCCTCTGCCTGCCCCTCTAGCCACATCCCACTCCTCTCTCGTCCTCCAGCCGTGCTGGAGGTTCCTCTTCAGCTCAGGACTTTTGCACATGCTGTTCCTGCTGCCCAAACACTCTTTCCCCAGCCCTCCATCCTAGGCTCCGTTAGGTCCCAGCATAATCATCTCTCTCCAGGGGGGCCCACGCTGACCACTCAGTGCACAGCAGGTCCCCCACTTGTCCTTCTCTACCTTAGCAACTTATTCTCTTCATAACCCTTATAAAATTTGTAAATGGTTTAATTATTTCGATTGTCTTATTTAGCATCGTATCCCCCAGCTCCTGGAAAAGTACCTGGTCCCTAGTAGACACTGGAAAGATCAAATGAGTAAACGAATATAATTAACTTATATGGCACTTACTGTTTGCCAGGCACTATCCCAAGCAATTTATATATTCAATTCATTCAATTTCCCTGACAATCCCCCAATGTAAGTGCTATTACTACTCCCGTTTCACATTAAAGACACTGAGACCTTAAATGTCTTGCCCCACAGCACACAGCTAGTAAGTGGTTGAATGAGGGTTTGAACCCAGGCAGCCTGGCCCCAGAGTCCACAGCCTTCCCCACCACACTACTATGAATGAATAAGAACATGGGTGAATGGATAAATGCATGAGTGGACGAGCCACCAAACGCAAGACCAAGAGGCTGCGGCAGCCAATGGCGGGAGGTGGTGGCACTCCCTGAGGGTTGCATCACACTCGCGTTTCCCCCACCATCTTAGCTGTAGAGGACAGCCAGAGTATGAACAGACATGAGCTCGGTGGCCCCTCAGCCCCCTACCTCAGGCTGCTGAGGACACTCCCGGGGGGTTCCCAGACCCTCCTCCCTGGGAAGGGTCAGCATCCCTCCCTCCTGCCACCTGGACATTTCCCGGGCACCGTCCACACTCTCCGGTGTCTCAGCCAGGCAGCCAGCCATCTGCAGCTATCTTCATACAGTGGATGGCTTTTCCAATAATACTACTTCCATCCTCAAAACCACCCCACTGTGCCTCACCTGGTAATCACTACACATGCCAGGCTGTTTAATCCCTTGGAAAACAAATCACATTCCCAGAATGGGACCCTTTGAAACAATAAAACGTGGTAGGATATCTGGTAGGGTTTTCCCCCTGAATATTTTGGCTCATCTAACAAAAAACCCTTTTTGCATTAAAGTAGAATACTAAAAGATAAAACCACATTTTAAAGACATTTAGCCCAATCGATTTCCCTTCCAACTTACCAACAACTCTTTGATAACTTCAACCCTGGGCACCAAATTAAACGTGTTTATGCATAATCATTAAACTCTCAGTGTTTGATAACACTGTGGTTCAGATCCCCACACTGGCCAGCCGCCCAAAAGAATCAAACAAAAAACCTCTCAGTGTGTACAACCCCAGCATTCTGCCTGTTTGCTTGACTGACAATCTCTACATCTGTTTTTCCTTCCAGAAGTGAGGTGTGTCCTGAGAGAGGTCTGCTGGAATTAAGCCCATTTCTCAAGTACTTAAAAAGCACACTTAATTTTTGAAAAATAGTGCTTCAGAAAAACAAAGTTTATTCAGTGATAGATTAATAAATTAACCAAGAAAGGGAACGCCTTGAGTGTTGGGAGGTAATAAATCAATCAGATCCTACCCACTTCTTGGGAGAGATCTGAAATGGACTGAAATCGATGTCATCTCTACAGCCAGGAAATGAAATCAAGTCTCATAACAGCTTTCTCAGATGTCAGTTCTCATCACTTCATTCATTTATCCAGCCAACACGGATTTACCTAGAACCTGTGGTCTGTGCTATGCCAGGCAGTGTTAGGTGCTGAGATACAGCAAATGAAAGAGCCCATGATCCAGTAGGGCAGCTGCTACCTACACATGGCTATTAAGCATCTGAAATGTTCTTAGTGTTACAGAGAAACTTCACTTATTTAATTTTAATTAATTTAATAAAATATTAATTAAAAAACAGATACTCAGTTCAGTTATTAGAAAAATTTCCAGTATGTTTGAAACAACTTAGTTTCTGAATCTACTTTCTCAACTCTAAATTTCAGAAACTCTAAAGACAGATCAAGTATTTGCAATGAAATTTTAGCATCCAAATTGAAATATGCTCTAAGTATAAAATACACACTGGATTTTGAAGAGTGGAAAATATATCTCATTAATATTTTTTTTTTTTTTACAGGCTGAGGATGCTCTAAATACTTTTTCATATCGATTACATTTTCTAACAATATTTTGGATATATTGGGTTACGTAAAATACGTTATTAAAATTAATTTCTCCTGCTTCTTTTTCTTACACATTTTTAAAATGTGGCTAGGAGGAAAATTATAATCGCATTTGGCTCACGTTATATTTTCGTTGGATAGCGCTGCCCTAAGCCCTCCTGCAGTAAACAGATGGTAGGTGAATATTCATTTCAGAACCTCAACCCACATCAGAGAACTGCTGAGAATCTTCCAACCCAGCCGCTCACAACGCAGCGCTGGAGACCCGCTAAACATCTTGCAGACAAGCTCGGTGGGCCCCAGGGTCAGCATTTCCTCACTCAGGATTTGGGATCTGGTCTCCGTCGCTCTCCAAACCCCCGCTGGTCTCAGTTTCCTGAGCAGCCACCTGCTTCACCCCAGACAGAGCCAGGAACGCAGCAGTTTTACTTACGTCCAGATGTCGCTGCTGCCAGCGCCCAGAGCAGGAGCAGACCAAGGAGCCCCATGGGTGCCAGCCTCCCTCTCCAGCTCAGCATGGCCCTGAGAGGAACCTTCTCCCCCAAAGACAAATGCTGGCTTCAATCCACTCTCCCAGCCCAGGGAGGGGGCTTCCAAGGGAAAGACCCAGCCAATCACAAGCCTCTCCCATAAAGTTATCAGCACCCCACCCAGGAGGGAAGGAGGGAGGGAAGGAGGGAGGGGGTTTCTGACCAATGAGGGGGGAAAATCTCTTTTCAGCCTAAAGGGAAAAAAAAAGGAAGCTTGCTTCCTTCGGCCTGTAACACGGTGTGGTTTGATTCTTTTTTAAACTGTGGTGTAAGATATAGAGCATGAAATTGACCATCTTAAACATTTTATTTTATTATTATTATTATTTTTTTTTAAAGATGACCAGTAAGGGGATCTTAACCCTTGACTTGGTGTTGTCAGCACCACGCTCTCCAAAGTGAGCTAACCGGCCATCCCTATATGGGATCCGAACCCTTGGCCTTGGTGTTATCAGCACCGCACTCTACCAAGTGAGCCACGGGCCGGCCCATCTTAAACATTTTAAAGTGTATAATTCAGTAGCACTGAGTACATCCATGATATGTGGCACTGTCCCCACTATCTGGTTCTGTGGTTTGACGTTTGGTTTGTCTTACCCATTGCACACTGGGCAGGGTTTTTCAGGGCTTTAGGCTCAAGGCTTCCCAGGAGGGGAGAGAAGGGTACTAGGGAGGCCAGGGGTCTGCTCATACTTGCTCATTGTCTTTTCCCAGTCTCCCCTGCTTCCCTCACCTCAAACTCACCTCCACCTGCAGCTTATGGGTTTTAAGTCCAGGTAGCCATGCTCCCTGGTCATGACCTCTTTAAGCTCCTGGCAGGCCTATGGACAAGCCCCTCCTCATGTGCATCTGTTTCCTGCAGTAAACATGCTTTTTATAAACTGAGATATAATGTATATCAGACAACTCTCCCATTTAAAGTGCACAATTCAGTGTTTTTAATATATTCAGTCACCACAGCCAAGTTTAGAACATTTCATCATCACAAAAGGAAACCACACTTCCATTAAGCAATTGCTCCCCGTTCCTCTCGCCCCTGTCCCTGGCCACCACCGACCTGCTTCCTGTCTTTATGGATTTGCCTTTTCTGGCCATTTTATGTAAATGGAGTCATTCAGTATGTGGCCTTTTGTGTCTGGCTTCTTTCACTCAGTGTATGTTTTCAAGGTTCATTCACATTGTAGTGTGGATTGGTGCTTCAGTCCTTTTTATGGCTGAATGGTATTCTGTTGAAAGATAGATCACATTTTGTGTATCCATTTAGCTGCTGATGGACAGTAAAATGTACTTTTTAGAAAAGCTTATAGTGTATATATACCACATTTTTAAAATCCACTCATCCATGTTGAACACTTAGGTTTATTCCATATCTTGGCAATTGTAAATTGTGCTGCAATAAACATGGGAGTGCAGAAATCTC